CATTACCCCACCGGGCCTCCTATATATAAGAAGAGCTGCGATACAGTGAAAGTCTGTCTGTGGATGACAAGCACTCTTGAAATCAGGTACCACCCATTATCAATCTTACTTTATTTAAGAAGGAAAAAATGTGCTAACTTTGTCCTTTAAGAGAAAGTCGCCAACTTAAATTCCAGTCACGTTCCTTTAATGGTACCAAATTTTCTTTGTCTCTCATATTCAACGAAAAATCTTTGAAAGGAAGGTTACTACTCAAATATACATTATATACATTTATATATTCTCTTTGTTTACGTTTGATACGAAACCATATATATATATATTTATATATATATATATATATATATATGACCGAAAATATCTCGTTGTGAGAGAAGCACTGTGTATAAAACATTTGGCACCCATTATTAATCATACTTAACAACGGAAACAAAGTCGTAACGAACGATTTTTAAATAGAACGACGGCAATTTGAATTCCAGCCACGTTTCTTTAATGGTACCAAATTTTTTTTGTCTTTCATATTCAACGAAACGTATTTGAAAAAAAGGTTACTATTCAAATATACATCATATATATATATATATATATATATATATATATATATATATATATATATATATATATATATATATGGCCTGATGATTGCGTTTAGCTTGAAAAAGTCTGTCGTCTCTAGTGTTGATTTCCATGTTCACTTTTTGTATTTGCATACGCTCTATCACTAATATTTTATCACTTTATCTCATAAATAGATACACCTTAAATCTATCTTTTATTTATTCACATATATATATATATATATATATATATATATATATATATATATATATATATATATATATAATAGGTATAGAGTTATGCAAATCAAAATCACCAATCAAAATATATTGTATTGATTATACAAACATGTCAATAATAACATATCAAAATCAAAATATCCATGACTAAAATTGTCAAACTCTTTGCCCTCGTCATTCACACACCCTGTTTTACCTGCAAAATATATATTATTATTTATTAAATAATAAAAATTATAATAGATGTATTATAATAAAAATTATGACATTTTAAAACTGATTTTAATGAATTTAATTTTGGTATAATTCTTACTATTTACATACATATATATATATATATATATATATATATATATATATATATATATATATAATGTGAGTGAGAGAAACAGGAAGAAACGAAAGAAATGGGAAAATGGAGGGCAAAGCTATAAAACAAAAGATGTACCCAAAGATTAAACGACTCAGTGATGAAGAAATCCAAAGACAAAAGAAATAAAGGAAAAGAAAGTAGAAATCAGTTCCATATATAAACATTGTTTGGCTCGTTTCAATACACGGGGATTAGTTGTCAACTAAGTTTTCAGGACAAATATACAAACCTGTGTCAAACTAAACTCCACCAGAGCTTAATGGAATAAATTTGAAACTTAAAATGTATAAACACAAAGTAGTCGTTGTGTCTATCCTTAAGAAACGCAATGCTTACACTATTGTTGTTTTTTTTTAATTTTTAGATGAAATATTTTTGCTATTATCATTTTATTAGTAGTTTTACTCTATCTTATTATTGTTGCTTCTTTGTCAAAATATCCGAGGTCGGTATAGTAGTGGATCGCAAGTGTAAATACCAAAGTAAAGGATGAGTTTATGATAGGAAATTAACTTAAATGAACTTAAATACCCCATGTAAGGATCCTGTCTTTAATGGATGTCAGCTTAACCAAATTAGTCACAGGGACTTCGTTAAAAAGGACTACAATTCTGTAATCCTTCACACTAGCTCTTTTCTTCTATTCGCTGCAGGCTTACGATTATATCACGTCGAAACACCAGTTTCCGAACGATCACCAAAGTTAAGCAACGTCGAGCTTTGTCAGTACCTAGATAGGTGATCGCTTGTAAATACCAATTCCTGTAAGCTTGGATGTGCGGGTGGTGTAATGGATAATGGCTCGGAAGCGTTAATCTTCGAACCGAGTTCCATTTCCATTTGTGTTCGATATATTCACTTATTCAAATTCTCTTGGGAAAGGTATGGATCGACATCTTCTTTCCAGCCAGCTGTTGGTTAATTATTAAGACTTGAATTATTATCTCAAAAATATATATATATTACTGTTGTAGCTTCCGTACGGACGATAATGGGTATATCTCCATTCATATAAATACAGTAGTAAGTACTGTATGTTGGTCTGCAATCGAAGATTCGTCTCCAGTTGTGCTGGTCAAACTCTCTGTCTTCGGGCAAAAAGGATCCCCAGACGAGGCTATGTCGAAGGGCAAAGTCTCATCTCGGGAAACAGCTACCCGACCCCGTTTTATACGGAGATCTACGAGGAATTTTTGGTCGAGCCCACGGTCTCGGATACACCACATTAAATTCGGCCTTGTGCCACATCTGACCGCGTGGGATTGTTCGTAGACATCTTGCAGTTGGATATTCATTGTGGAATTCACTTAACTCACTTCTAGCTGTTGACTACTTCTACGCGCCGCTGGCGAATTTTATATGTGTTGTTCGTGTTCTAAGTACTATCGTTCATTACCAACCATTGTGTGATTATTCTATTCAGTAACCTTCCCTTGGTTACAAAAATTACATTCTAAATTTTTTTCTGTCTTTAACCTGTAAAATGTTGATAAGCCGTAAAAAATGAATGAATAAAATCAAATCCTATTAACTTCGGTATTTTTGTTTAATGTCAAACAATGGGGTTCTTGACGAAAAGCGACAATAGTAATAAAATAAAGTGGACCCTTAGAAATACGATTTGATTGTTTATGACATATATCGCCTGCATTTTACTCATTTAATTAAAATCTTCCCATTGCCTTCCTTATAATCATAATAATCTTTGCAAACCATGTTTTTACGTAAATATTGGATAGTATTTTTCGGCAAAAATGGATAAGCAAAGCACAATTATTTCCTACTGCATTCTCTCTTTTACCTTTCCTTTGCTGTATCTGTCCATAAAGAAATTTAATCCATTGTAATTTTGACGCCTTTCCAACAGTTATCTTCCTTTCAGTATTTCCTTCAGGGAACCGGCTATTTTTCCCAGCATCCTTAGCGATTGTTCGAATATAGGAGTTCATCTTAAGATCTGGTGGTTTCTGGTGAATTTAGATTAACAAGAGGAACAAATCGAGCTTCAGAATGAAAATGAAAACCTGTTTAAACTATTATATATACAGGTTGCCGTCAGCACCAACGCAATTAAACTTACGTCTTTCGCTTAACACCCTTCCCTAATTTTCATGGATCAGAACAACGCGGTCGTTTACAAAGGTTATTCTAGCTTTTTGGTTCTTCTTGCTGATCAGGTGTTTGACGGCAAAAGAACATACAGGAAACTCTACTTTACATAAACAATGCCCGCTAAGACCCTGTCATGCCAAATTATTCGGTTACCTGACGCGCAATGCCCGCTGTTTGGGAAAACGATCCACAATGGAGAATTATTGAATCACCCGATTCTGCCGAGGATTCGTTTCATACGACCACACGGAAGTTTTAGGTGATTTAAAGCGGCCAGTATCACCACAAAATATTCTAGAATTTACATTCACAACTCTAATAACTATTTTTTCAAATCGTTTTCCCTTAAGTTTTTAGTGTAACGATCCAATGCCTAAGGGGTATTCATCAAATTTACAACGACGTGTCATCGTGATAACTAAAGAAACAATCTTACAGACGAATAAAGAATATCTGAATAGACTGTAATGGCGTTATATTTCGTTGGGACCTGTCACATATTGGGTTGGCCAAAAAGACAGTTCGTTTTTTGGTTTTTATCAGAGTTAGGACAGAAGTTTTAAACATAAAGGGATTTATTGAATTAATGATATAATTGCCTTTTAGTTGCAATATCGTCTGCCATCTTGTGCGCAGATCTATTATTCCCTATTCAAAGAATTTCCCGTTTTTACTGGCGAAAACTCTTCCAGGTGAATTTTTACTTCCTCTTCAGAACTGAAGGTCTGTTCGCTTAATGACTTCTGGGGAGACCGAAACAAATAAATATCTGGACTGTGTAAAGGTCGAGTGTATAAAGTGGATGGGGCAAACCTCAACTAAGCTCCTGTAACTTCAGCCGTGACTACAAAGAAGTGTGCGGTCTTGTATTGTCGTGACAAAGCCCTCACTATTACCAAATACTGGGTGCTTATGCTGAATCGCTGCGTTTAATTTGTCCAGCTGGTCACATCCGAATCAATGGTTCTGGTATTGGGAAGAAGCTCATAAAAGGTAACACCTTTCCAATCCCAGCAAATTGAAAGCATAACCTTCTTCGGGTGAAATTCTTGTTTTAGACGATCTATTTTTCTGCCAATGACACTATTCTATTAAAAAAAAATCTTCTACTTGATGTTTCTCCACAGAATCTCAAATAGTAATCCTCTGGGTGAGGGTTAGCCTCATTCAGTTGATATGGGACCTAAACAACGAACCTAGTGACTTAACAAGTTGATACACATGATTTTCAATGCTTGATTTGGATATTTGGAGAATATCTGCGTATAATGGGGCTTGGTGTCGAATAATTCCTTCACTACGGCACTGTTAATCCCAAATGTCTGGCCAGATCGAGGAGCATCTTGAACCGACAAATTTCCCGATCAAAATCTTGAAAATCACTTATGGCACAGACGTTCCGTAACGTCATCTTCTCGGGACACAGTAGGATATCTTCCCTCAAGTTTCTCCAATGTTTTTGCTTTTTTTAAATTAAAAAAGAATTATGACGAGTCGATAAAGTTCACTTTGGTTCTGTATTTTCAGAGTGATCCCAAACACATTCAACCTGCCGCGCCGAAAATTGTCCTCGAACTACGTTGAAGTTTTAAGTAACTAACGCGTAAGTTCAAGAGACAGACTGAAGTTAACTGTTTATAAGAGCGTTTGAAGTTTAGTGTCGCGCAAAAGACAAACAAACTTTTGGGTCAACCCAATGTTTTTACGTATCACCCATGAATATAAATGACTATCTTAATGATTTCATTTGGGATGCGGCGTTTTTTGTTGTTTTTTTTTCTTTTTCTTCTTTTCTTTTTTCTTCTTTTCTTTTTTCTTCTTTTCTTTTTTCTTCTTTTCCTTTTGTCTTCTTTTTTCTTCTTTTCTTTTTTCTATTTTTGTCTTTTTTCTTCTTTTTTCTTTCCATCTTTTCTTTTTCCTTTTCTTCTTCGTTTTTCTTTTTTCTTCTTTTTTACTTCTTTCTTTTTCTTTTCTTCTTTTTTGCTTCTTTTTTTTCTTTCTTCATTTTTCTTTTTTTTTACTTTCCCTCTTTTCTTCTTTTTTCTTTTCTTCTTCCTTTTTTGCTTCTTTTTTCTTTTTTTTTTCTTTTTCTTCTTCAGTATACCTCTGCGGGTGATAGGAGCACACAAGCCGCTCCGTCATGTCATAGTAGTTAACAGTGGAGTGGAATATATCCAAGACATAAAAGAATTTACGCTCACCTAGATATATTAACAAACACTAGTTACTATTTAAATGAGTAGTTGCTTTAATCGCCTACAAAGTTGGTGAATTTGTTTCATGTAACTTAATTAATCAATCAAGACAGGTTGAAGGCAAGAGGAAAACAACACATAACCTACATAGAGAGCTTGAGTAAATGAATAGTGGAACAAGCTTTAGGAGAGATTTAACAAAAAAGACAAAATTCACTAAGAGCTAAAATAAGCAGGAAAATGGGGGGAGTCATGACCGTCAACTTTCTTAAAGGATACGGCACGAAGAAGAAGAAGAAGAAGAAGAAGAACAACAACAACAACAACAACAACAACAGCGTATTTATTCGTTGAATGTTAGCCACAGCGGACTGAACAAACTGTACTGAATTCAAATGTATTCCAGAAATATCTAAATTAAAACAGGCACATCGAATTTATTGTATCTTATCTTTTAAATAAATAAATGAAGCAGAAATTTTTACACTAGGTTGTCAAAACAAACAGCCATTGTCATTTAAACAAGTTGACAGTGGCGTTATATAAATACAACCGGAAGGAAGTCTGGAGTGGCGCGAGCAGTGACACGTGATCATTGAACGGAAGAAGAATGGAATGATGGCGTGTTATAAAAGGGCACGAAAAGAGAAGAAGTCAGGAGAATTCACGAAAATGTCACTAGGAAACATTGGCAGATGATAAAATATGACAAATCTTGACGTATTCCTGCTACTGTGCCTCTTTTCTTTTCTTTTTCTTTCTTCTACGCTTTTCTCTTTTAAGTACTGCTTTCTTTGACTTGTCAAATGTTAGCATAAAGGAGGCCAAGCGAAATGCTGGAGCAAGAATAAAAGCAGGCTTAAAAAACAAAAACAGGCCGCTTATGTAAACTGTTTACTTTCGATGTCCTAATGAAATCAAGTTATTTATACGTATATTTTTGAAGAGAAACTAATTGTATCGAGATTATAAAATGAGCCATCGCAAAAATATGCAGGATATAAGTAATTCCTATTTAATAAAATTTACTAATACCAATATCAATTATCGTTAACTCCTAACTAAACACGTCGACCAGGAAATGACTGAAGGTTAATACGTTCAAGGCGAGCTGATTTTTTCAAATAAAGTCCTCAATATAAAAAAAAAAAATAAAGCAACACTAGTTAACAGATAAAACATCAAATGACTTATCTTTCGATTTTAATTGTCGCAGGAACATCATCCTGCTCGCCAGAGTGAGATAAATTTATTAAATTCATTCACAGATCTCCTATCTATATGATAAATGTGATATCTATCACAAAGGTATTAATCTGTATACCTGTCTATATTTCTGTGATGAGGTATTGTAATTATTGACACTACATTGTTCGGACTGTTACGGGGGCATCCAGAAAACGTATGGCACGTGGAACGAGAATAATCTATCCCGGTGGACGAAATAAAGGATTCAGTTCGAAATTCCAATGTATATCACTTGAAGAAGGCCGGAATGTACAACGGCCGAAATGTCATGAATTTGACAATACAAATGAGGAAAACAGTTCGGACATTGTAAATATCTGTATATCATATAAATAAATATGCTGGAGTAATTCGACTTGGTGTCATGGTTGACTCGCTACTAAGTAGTGAGTTCAATCCTAGTCTAGGGTTGGTAAATCACTAGGGTTAATTAATCACTACATACGAATGTGCTATATGTCAATGAATTCAGTAGATTTATAATACCCTATATATATGATTCCGGTCTCATATATAAGTTGATTGACCAAAATAGTCTACCGTTTGATCTTGCTCCATAATTTTCCCTGGTTGATACACAACTTATGGTTTGCTTTTCCAGGAATGGCCACTAAAACGCATTCGCCTTTCACAGATTGTGTCCTTTCTTTGTTTATATGGCAATGGCATCCTAGTCAAGAGCAGAAAGGCTTCCACCGCTGCTAGTAAACAGAGTATTTTTAAGTTTGTGGCTCGGCTCCAGGAAGGTTTATAATCTTGGAAATACTTGTAACAGCTAAGTACTGAGGTTACAGCATACAAAAGGCTGAATTAGATAGATAGCTAACATTATAGTGTAATGAATCAACATACAAATCAGTCAAGCCCATTAGGTGATTGTCCAAGCTTACTTGAGCCTGGGCGTTGTTTTACATTCGTCTTGGAAGACACACACGTATTTTACAGGGTATTTTTAGGGAAAAAAAAGTGCGTCTTGTAAGACGGAAAATACGTTACTGTAAATACCAATTTTGACATTTGCTTTTACAAAGGTGTGCGCCAGAATATGATTAAAATCTATCTTTTTAATGTAGTCAATTAAAACAAATACATTTTTGAACTAATACCTATAGGAAAGACCGGGATCTATCTCTTCTCTCCCCAGCTATGCGTTAAATGACAGGGTAGACCAGGGTCTCTAGCCTTGAGTTGCAACTAATGTAAGAGAAGGACAACTGGACAAGGAATCTGTGAAGAATCATGGTCGCCTACGTCATGAAGGGATATGGTATTAAAAATAAAATATTTTTAATGGCATTACGTCGCGAATCCCGTAACCCATTAGTGTCGTAGGGTCACGATATTTACGGAAGTAAAGGTGTTTCTCGAGCAAAATTTTTTTCAAAGGAAGTGCTCAATATAAAAAAAAATGAAGTAACAATAGTTAACAGATTAAATAACTTATCTTTCGACTTGAGGTTTCGCAGAAACATCGTCCTGCTCATCAGATTGATATAAATTTTATTGAATTCATAAACAGATATCCTAGTTATATGATGGTGAAGTAATGGATAGCGGCTCGGATTGAGGAATCGGAGAGCAGAGATCGAATTCCAGTCGAATCCATAACATTCATTTACGTGCTAACACCCTTGGGAAAGGTATGAATCCTCTTCCTCCCACCCCCAGCAGTGGGTAAATAGCAGGACAAACTGAGTTCTATAGTTTTGGATGGCTACCTCAGAAAGAAATGGCAACCTACTGCGGGAAAAAAAATCAGTCAGTGATGTATCGAAAGATACATGATCGCTTAAGCGTGTATCACGCATTGCACATAACTGTGTATCACAAAGGAATAAATCTGTATATCTGTCTATATTTCTGAGATGAGTTATTGTAACTATTCACACTATTTATATTGTTCTCAACTTTATTGTCATATTCCCCAGGGACGCATGGCCTCGTGGATAATCCAGTGACTTGACACAAATATTTGTGAGTTCTGAGTTCAATACCTGGCTACAACAGAGATGAACAAAAATTTTGGTAGTTGAATTACTAAAGAGAAATAACTGAAACTGATATATCAAGAAGAGGCATGGCACATGGAACGAGAATAATCTACCGACGAAATAAAAGGTTCGATTCGAAATTTCAATGTATATCACCTGAAGAAGGTGAGTGCGTACAGATGTCGTGAATATGACAATACAGTTACAGTCCGAACAATATAAATCTGTATAACATATAAATAAATATGCTGGAGTACTTCGACGTGATGTAATGATTAGCAAGCTTCTCTTGCTAAATCAATTATGAGAGAGTAGTGATTTCAGTTCTCACTGGGTGCTCTGTATTTTAGGCCTTTTGCCACATCTAAGTTACGGGTAGTAAATCGCTATAAATAAATGTGCTATCTGATTTATATTACCCTGATGAGCGGGCGGTCTCATATATGAGTTGATTGATGAACGTACTTGCTAGTCTACCATAATTTTCCCTGGCTGATACACAACTTCTTGTTTGCTTTTCCAGCGATGGCCACTAATATAATATGCGTTAAATAACAGGGTAGCCTGGTCTCTCTAGCCTTGAGTAACAACTAGAAGTACTACTGGACATTCCAAATCATGGAGAAGGAAACGAGAAACTACTCCACAATATTTCCCGGGAATGCTTGGCAGTTTACCATTAATAAAATAAAGGAAGCTGTGGATAATTGTTGTTGGGCTCTCCCCTTTTTACATAAGATGGACTCGTCCAAAGTATACTTATACTGACAGAGAGAATACCTGCTGTTGAGATACGTTGGAGATACATTGAGATACGTGGAGATACGTTGAGATGCGTTCAGACAGGTTGAGAGATACGGAGACAGACACAGGGTGTTCTCAGAGAGTTATACAAGAGTCCAGAAAGAGAGAGATGATTACGACTTTACTTACAGAAACTTGTACATATACTTTCTACTAACCCGCATTCCTGGACTACTAATCTTCACTTCAAGTCTGAATTCTTACGTTTAATACACTTATTTTTCTATCTCAATTACTGGCGTTGTTTGTTTATTTGTGCAGGATTCCATCCACGGAATCCACAACAATAATTATGATCGCCTACTCATGAAAGGATATGCTATTTAAAAAAATAAAATATTTATAACGAGATTACGTCGAGAATCCTGTAAACCATTAGGGTCGTAGAATCACAATATGTACGACAGCAGAAGTGTTTCAAGAGCAAGATAACCAGACGGATCCCATCCTTCTTCAGGCTGCTTTTGAATGAAACAGAATCAAATTAAAATCGATTTTTTTTTGCATTCTAAACCGTTACACTAAGCACACTAATAATCTAAGGACAAAAATGAGATTAAGTGTTTGAAACTATATTCTTTCTATGAGCCACTCAAGATAGAGGATTATTGAATGAGTGTCATAAGGACCTAGAGCGAGGAAGTAATATATTATAAGGATATGTAGAATAGATAACGGTTGGTCGTAGACTTGAAGATTGTCGCGAAATATCCCCTCAAGAGTCTATTCAACAAAGTAACAGATCTGGGGAAGAAGCTGTCTATTTGGAACTTCTTCCTTACCAATGGAATACGAAGAGAATGGAAATGAATTGACACTATGTACGTAGACTAGCGAGCCCTAGTTGTGTACGTCTGAACTGGTGGAACTAAGGAATGTAGCCCGTCTGAATGTAGAAATAGAATAGCGAAGGTTAGAAACATTTCGTCTGTTGGAAAGAGTTGTAGGCTGGAAATTAATTCATCACCCACAAGGCCGCTTTTGAATAAAAAAAAATTGCTGGAAAATAATGATTGGGAAACCCCAGTACAGATATGACAGCAATGCTCCATTTTTTATTTGATCTGTCTCTTGTAAAGAAAAAGCATGGTGACAGGTACTATTTAGAGAGGTGCAAGTAACCGACTATTTTCCAGCATCTTTAGCGAGGCATCGTATATACCTTTTCCACTTAAGGTCCGGGGTGAGATTAAGTCCCTAATAGACAATCAAGTCATATAGACTCATTGAGAGCACAACCGCTAAATGGTACAAAAATAAATTAATGGGTATAGAGGTACATTGATGGCTTGACTAAAACCTGTGTCTTTCTATGGCATAATCAACCAATATGACTTAAAAAACTACAGAGCAGAGGTAACGTAATCTTGTAAACATACAATAACCAGTTCATCGATATGGAAGAACATCTGGATTCATTTTTCTCACACACTTTTTTAGCTTTTTATGGTTGCATTTAAATTATCTTCTCTGTTTACAGTATATTCCGCCTCTAAACGATAATATTATCATTATTGTTCTTATTGGTAACAGTAGCAGTGATAGTAGTCATGTTCATATGATTCAATTAGAGTCTTGTTTCTATTGCTTAAATGAGATACCTTGCTGAAACAATTCCGCGGGCGATGTTGTAGTTTTACGCCAGGGGATGGGAGTAATGTGGGTCCGCAATCTTTCACTTGTCATAAATAAAGCAAATCATTCCAGCATAGATGGAAAGCGGCAAGAAAGCTCAGGGATAATTATTCATTAACGTTGACTGATCATCACAAGAGGCCGACTCATCTAACTAACCTGACAGCGCCAGTCTCGCAACGGACAGCAAATGACGTCAGCGTTGTTCCCTTGCTTGTGTGTAAAACCCCTCGCGATTGAGAAAGGCGTGTCGTCTCTAATAGGATAGACAGAGATATCGTAAATACCGTAGCACGAAACCAAAGATTTTTCTTCGGGCAATTTTCAACCCGCACTTTGTATCTATATTTCGTTCTTTCTCTTTTTTTTCTTTGTTCATTGCAAATAGGTTTTCTTTTTCATTGCTTCTTTCTTTCTTTTTTACTTTCCCAAATAATCTTTGTTGGTTTCTTTTTTTTTTCTATCTATCTATTCTATATATATATATCTTTTCTTCAAGCAAAATTTTCTTACTTTTTTTTCTTTTTCTTCTCTTTTCTTTTTGACAAATCTAAAGTCATTGCTTTTGTTTCCTCATTTTACTTCTCTCCTTGACATTAACGGACGTGTGGATAGTGCAATGGTTAGCAATTCAAAAAAACAAAGAAATGTTCGAATTCCATCCAAGTTCGTTACGCCCGTTACAAATACGATGGGGAAGATATGAATCCATCCAAGTCCGTTACTTTCGTTACAAAATTCCATTGACAGGATATGAAGCTAAATATCTTCGTTATCTTCATTACAATTACTATTTGAAAGATATGAATCCACTCAAGTCCGTTAAGTTCGATACAAATACCATTGAAAAGATACGAACTCACTCTTCTCCCCCAACTCCACCTATGGGTTACATATCGGGATTCACTTTGAGGTGGGTGGAAGAGGAAAAACTAGCTTGATGGAAAATCGTCAGGTTACTTGCCCTAGATACACCACTGGTGCTATGGCTGCAGTACATGTGATGCCGTTACGAACCTAATGGATTACGGGAATCGTGATCATGGTATAATATTGATTTCAACTTACCATAAACTGGGATAAGTCTTAATAGAAAACAAAATAGAACAGCACCCCCTCGACCCAACACTTACACGCCCTTTTTCTTAACCCTTTCCTTATTAGCTTTCTTTCTTTTTTTTTATTTCTTTCTTTCTTCTTGTCGTTCTTTCTTGTTTTTGTTTTTTCTTCTTTGTTCTTTGTGAGCTCTACATTATTGTTTCTTCCTTTCTCTGTTTTCGTTCCCTTTCCCATACACTCTTTCTTTCTTTCTTTCTTTCTTTTACTTGTTTCTTTTTTCTACACTTTTCTGCGTGTTCTACCTTTTCATTTCTATCCTTCTTTTCAATTTCTGTCCTTCGACCTTCCTTAAACTTCCTTCTTTCTTTCTTTTATCTTTCTTTCTTTCTTTCTTTTTTTCTACTTTTTTTGTTTCTTCCCTTCTTTGCAGTTTTTGTTTTCGTTCCATTTCCCATACAAATTTTCTTCTTCTACCATTTCCTTGTATTTTTCTTCTACATTTTCTTTGTCTTTCATTTTTTTTCTATATTTTCTTTCTTCTTTTTTCGTTTTCTAGCGACTTCTACCTTTTCATTACTTTTTCTTTTCAATCTCTGTTTTCTTCCACCTTCGTTAAACTTGCACGCTTTTCTTCCTTTTCTTTTCTTCCTTCCTTCCTTTCATTCTTCCTTCCTTTCATTCTTTCTTTCGTTATTTATGTTGTGAAGTTTGCCTTTGAATTTCTTTCCTCCTATTCAAATTCTGTTTTTGTCTCCGGTCCATTTTCAACTTACACTTTCATTCTTCCACCTTTTCTTTCTTTCTTTCTTTCTTTCTTAAAAAAACAGAAAGAAAGTGCTAAGGGAAGGAGAAGGAAAAAAGAAAGGAGTTACTTATTTACGCATTGTTTTATTTCGTTACAAGCTTTTGCTATCTTCTTTTACTCTTTCTCATTCATCAAACATCTTTCTCAATATTTTCATCCATGTTTGTTCGTCTACTTTCTTTCTCATATCTTTCTCCTTTTCTCTTGAATGAAAACTTCTTTTTTCTTCATTCAACTCTCCTTCGTCAATACATTTCAGAGTAATTACACTTTCTACTTTTATAGACATTTCCTTTCGGTTTTCCTTCTTTTTTTTTTCTTTTTCTCTCTCTCATTTACGAAAAATGAAGGAACATTTTTTTCCTTCAAGTTTTTATTTAATTTTATTCAATTCTATGCCTTGTTCCTTCTAAATATTCTTGGGTTCATTTTCATATCCTTTTGTCTCTGCTGCTGCAAAAGCCTCTCGTGGCTTATGCTGCACCCACCCCCACCTCGACCCAACACCTACCCTGCAGCTAGCTTCGCTCTTCATTAGTTAAACTCGTCAACTCCACATAAAAATGTCTTTCTCTAGCCTCGTTGCTCTTGCGACGTCGGTGAAAAGCCACCCGCCTAAGATCCTCGGGGCAATGCTTTTAGGTGGCGTGTGTTGCTTATTCAATTTTAGTACTGCCCTCATGTCGCTTTGTGATTGGTTCCTTGACTGCTTCATTGGTTAGGGTGGGAATCTGTAGAACTAACTGTGCTAACATAAGGGGCCTCGAGCATTTCACGTTGTCGTATATACACTAAAGGTTTCATCTTTCGTAAGTGTGCGTAAGCGAACGCCTTTACTTTTATACTTGCCCTTGCAAGTGTGTGCGTATTTATTTGAATAGGAGCACCTTCAATACATCAAAATTTCAGCACATACATCTGCATGAGCGGAAATCAGAAACTATATTTGGCTAACGCCTGTCAAGATTGTAAATAGGTGTAAAAGCCTTTTACTCTTGATACTCCCTGAGTAGATAAGGTACTTCTTTGGTTGGCGCATGTGTTCACTCGCTTACTACCATCCTTGTTATCAATTGTGGCATGACAGTAATGAGACATTTCTTGTCAGAATAGATCCCGATAGGAATTTTCACTTTTCCATGGGTTCTGTTTCCTAATTCGAAATCCGACCCCATATATAAACGAACACACACACACAAACACACACACAAACACACACACACAAACAACCTGGGTTTTATAATAAGTATAACTCGATATGAGTTGTTCCCCTTCCATTCTGGCGACAGAATTGTGTTTTATCGTGTTTTCAGATTGATTTTTGGCGCTGTCAGTACCACCGCAAGGTAATTTTACGCAGTCCTGTGAAGTTTTGTTGAAATCGGTTGAAAAATGTAGGAAATCCGATCCAATATATAAACGTACAGACACACACACACACAATCTGCGTTTTATAATAAGTAAGATTCTGAAGCTCAATATGTGAAAATACTTCATCGGTCACAGGTTCACAAATATCATTTTGCGATAGATTTTCTATTCGGAACATCCAAGTAGTTAAAGTTGATTGGGGTTTTCTCGCCTCTGAATGAATAAATAATTTATATTTTAATTTAAAAATGTATTCTCAGTTGTTTTTATTCTATTATTATTCCGATGAATGTAACTTAACAAATAAATCTTTTAAAAATTTGAATAAATAGTCCCTTTTTATGTTACCTCACAAAAGTTTTATTTATTTTTCCGGGTTCTCATTTCCATTTCATCAGACTTCATAGACACATTCTCAGGTAGAAAAGCAGAAGCATTATCTTGAAGTTTATTAAATGCAATATTTTGATTTTCTTTTCGAAAACTAGATCCATTTGTAAATGATGTTAGAATAATCCAAAACTTATACTAAAAGTAAACCTCCTGCAACCGGATAGAAATCGAATTCTATAGGTAGACAAAAAAAAAAAAAAAAGGCGTAACTCAATGATGTGTCTTCTTTCTAGATCGGTTCAAAACGTTTTTTTTGTTTGTTTTTTTTTTACTAATATTCACTCAATAGAAGGCCCAAGAGCCACTCATGGTAGACGGTTACTGTGTGGAGTTGTGTAATATTAGCGTAACTCAATGATAATGTCTTCTCCTCAGATTTGTTCAAACATTTTTTTTTGTTTTTTTTTTTGTTTTTTGTTTTTTGCTAATATTCACTAGAAGTCCCAAGAGCCACTCATGGTAGAGTGTTACTATGTGGAGTTGCGTAATATTAGCGTTGGAAGGACAAACATTAAGAGTAAAGAGTTGAAATAGACTTTAGATGGAACCGGAAAACCAATCTTAAGCGGGAAACAAGAGATAATACTCCTGCTCAAAAGACTGGGGTGGAGTGTGAGTCGAACAATCGGCCAACTTATTAGTATTGGGAGGTAAACAAAAATAAGTAAAATAAAATAAATAATTAGTGAACAAAATTTCAGAGTTCAGACGCAAGCGTTAGGAGTAAAGAGCTGATTCAGGTTTAGAAGGAACCGGAAATCAAATCCTAAACAGGAAACAAGGGATAAGCCTCTACTCCTGTTCAAACACCGTGGAGGAGTGTGAACCAGATCATAAGTGAACCTATCTATTCCTATTAATTCTACAGAGAGGCTATCCCAAGGGAACTGGAAACCTTACAAGGGCTTATGATCGAGAGGAGACGCAATCTTAACAATATAAGATAGGCAGATGACATTGTGTTGTTGGCAGTCACGGAAAAGAAAACTACTGGACCTCCGAGATTAAGTAATAAAGGAATAGGAGAAAAAATGGGATTAACTATCAACTGTAAGAAGGCAGAAAATATATGTCTATATTTCTGAGATTATGTACATTATTTACATTATTCGGAATATTGTCCTCATCTTTGTCGCCAAGGACACATGGCACAGGGGATAAAGACGTTGGTTAGATCCAGTAACAGAACCCAAAGAGTGTGAGTTCAATACCGGGTTAAGGCAGTGGAGAACTTTCAGAGGGAAAATTAACAGGAGATAACTGGTAACTGACATCAATTAAACATGGCACGTGGAGCAAGAACAGTCTACCCCAGTGAGCGAAATAAAGGGTTCAGTTCGACATTCCAACCATCTGAAGAAGGCCGGAGCGTACAACGGCCGAAACGTTGGAATAAATATGGCGACAAAGATGAAGACAATAATGTAAATAATGCAGAAAATATAGTTGAGAACCAGAAAAAAGACCAAGTTGTGAATTTGGAGGCAGGTATATATATATATATATATATATATATATATATATATATATATATACACACACATATATATATATATCAGAGAGTTAGAGAAATTTCAATATCTGTGAGGTGTTTAACAGGAAATGGGAAATACGACACCGAAAACCGGACGCGCAATCAGTTTATCCAAAAATATATTCCAAAATTTAGTCAAAATCTATATATAAAATTTTGTAACTTCCGTCTGTCTGTCTGTTACACACTCTAAAAGAGCCATACATTGACCGATCGGAACCAAATTTTGGCTAAAAGTGCAAACAGATAAATGTGTACAAAGTACAGTTGGTTTAACTAAGGTGCGTAGATTGAGGTAAAAAATGTTTATTTGTTTGGAAAAATTAAGTTATATTATTTAACATAAAAATTCTCCCACTAATTAAAAAAAAATAATTATTAAAATAACAAATATTCATTTAATAAAAATGCAATATTGTTTTTGCATATATTTTCTTTTAAGTTTTTATATATATAAGAATCCAGTTTCCAGTTCGCTCTTCGTTTGGAAGAACTATAAACAAATCACAAGATCAAGCGCTTCAAAAATTGTAATTTGACACCAGAAAAAAAAATTACGTATGGCCGGTTATATGTTGCATGCTCAAGTATAAGAAATCATAAGAACTTATTCTTTAAACTATTTAAATTATTCGAACTATTGTCCTCATCTTTGTTGCCATATTTATCACAACGTTTCCAGCGTTGTACAATCCAGCCTTCTTCAGCTGGTTGGAATGTCGAACTGAACCCTTTATTTCGCTCGCTGGGGTAGACTGTTCTAGTTCCACGTGCCATGTTTAATGGATGTCAGTTATCAGTTATCTCCTGTTAATTCCCCTCTCCAAGTTCTCCACTGCCTTAACCAGGTATTGAATTCACACCTGTTTGGGTCGTGTCACTGGATCTAACCAACGCCTTTATCAGTTCAACATTCCAACCGCCTGAAGAAGGCCGGAGCGTACAAAAGCCGAAACGTTGTGATAAATATATCAACAAAGATGAGGACAATAGTCCAAATAATGTAAATAGTCTACATAATTCCTCATCTCAGAAATATAAATGGATAAAGGGATATTTTGATAAGTAACAAATGGCGAAAGAGTGTCATTACAATGACAGGGAATTTCTGAGTAAAAAGAAAGGGAAAAGAAAGAAAGAATCAGATATGTTTTGGCGACGGCTGTGTTATCTAAGGATATGAAAACAAACTATTGGTACGGGAAGGCATCTTATTATCAACTACAGGCCGACTGGCCAAAGAAAAATTCAAATGAAAATGTTATTTCGATAAGTGACGAAAAACAGGCAACTAAAAGGACTTTGGATAGATAGGAAAAATTAATTGTATCAATTGTCCATTGACCGAATTCTTTCGACGGAACATCCTTGGCCTGCGATAATAAAATTATGTTATCAGAAATATGTACCGAAGGGAAATGAATGGGAATTTAGAAATGTCTTTTCGGGGCGACGTTGGCCGTGTTAAGAAGACCACCCATTCGGATAATTAGCGGTAAAATACCTGACGAAAACCACGTGTAGAACAAGAGTTATGACCGCCATTGTTCATATTGTCCCGTTTGCGGCTAGAGAAATGATAACGGCGATTAAGAGGAAGAAAAGGAAAAGAAGGGATAATTTTTTTAGTTAAGCAAGATATTTTTTTCTTCCTGAAACAAAGCCGCGGATTCGTCCACGCCCGACTAAGACATCATTGGTCAAGTGGTGATCACGTGACGCACGAAGGAGGAGGAAAGATAATTTTTTTAGTTAAGCAAGATATTTTTTTTCCGAAACAAAGCCGCGGATTCGTCCACGCCCGACTAAGACATCATTGGTCAAGTGGTGATCACGTGACGCACGAAGGAGGCTGTCGCCGCCTATCCAGAGTGTAGGTATGAGAAGCTGCTACGAAGAAGTGGGGAGGGCAGTTCACGCCCTCTGAAGTATGGTGATAAGGTGGGAGTGAGGAAAGGTTCCCAAAAATGGAAAAAAAGTAGAAATTCCTAACCAGAGAGGTGGATATGTATTTAGAATTATCGAGGAAACCCCGACGCCGACAGACCCACCCCGGTTTTGGTCGGCGTCCATATAAGCGAAGCCACAACGAGCAGAAATCAGTTCCAGCAGTTCCAGTGAGTTCAGTTCCAGAAAAGTTTGAGTTGAGTCTCCAGTTGAAGCCGCCTCGCAGATAGTTGACCAAGATTCACGCAAATTCCGGACTCCTCTTCAACCCAAGAACAATTATTTTGAAGAGCGACTTAGATCCAGACCACCACAATATTTTTTTTTTTCGACTTTCGTCCAAAGACATACCGAAACACCAATTTCTTAGAGAGCAAACAACTTGAAGCGTTAAAACTTGCCTAACGGAAAACGACGTGTCACAATCCATAGAACGGGTCGGGAGATAGATGCAGTCCTATGTATCGAACAACTAGACATAACGTTTGTTACCTTTTCTTTGATAATTTGAACTTTGAGTTTCCATTTTATTTTCTTTTTATGCATATTTGTGTGGCATCACCCCGTTGAACTCGGTTTGCATTACGGCCCCAACCACTGTTTGATCTCGTCTGCCTAAGATCAATTCACAACGTGGGTGGGCAGACTGGAGATCAATGCAGTTACCTTGGTAACCAGGCGTTGGAAGCGAGTTGGGAACGACGAGGCTGATATCAAATCTAACCAGATTCCCACCCGAATCACCAAAAGGTTAGAACGTCACACTTGGGTGCCGCGACCGATACCAAGCCAGTTGGTCGTCACAGGACGAAACAACACGACTGACGCGACAGGCGGACGTCACGTTTGGAGCAGCGACACCCGAACGGAGCAGCGAGGAGCGCATAGCTGGCGCCACGGCGAGGACGTCACAATTGGTGCTGTTTAGGGACGTCACAGTTGGTGCCGTGGTAGACCAGGATAGAACGTCACAGTTGGCGCTGCGACCAGGGGACGACGTCACAACTGGTGCCGTGACCAGGATATAGGACCCTGGAACAGTCACTTCACAAATGACGGTTTTAAATTTTTTGTAATATATAATTAGTTTAATTTTTTGCTCTTGTCTACTGGTGTTGTACGTTTTTATAATGTTCTTAAGTCTAGTTTCATCTTTTTTCTAAATATAATTCATCTAATTTTTTATAAAAATGTAATGCTTTAGTTTATGTTTATATTCTCATCGTTGTTATTAGCTACCTTAGATAGAAAACGCCTGATATGGAAATCCAACAATTGATTTGGAAATCCTTTATTGATAAGCGTTTGTTTAACGTTATTTAATTCTTTAAAGAAAAGCGTGCGAGATGAATTCTCGTGCGCTCTCTTGAGGGAATTTCTAATAACACCTATTTTATATCTAAGAGGGCATTCACTAGAAAAAATAAGATGTTCATAAGGGAATTGTGTTCCTGAGCAATGAAAATTCGTAAACATTTATATTGGCCATACCACAACATGTTTAACAAGAAGACTCACGCTACATTTCTCTGATCAGAGCTCAATTAGGTCTCATATAAATACTCATGGAGACCTACCGGATACTATTCGCAATATATTTGTTGATAATACAAATATAATAGATCGTCTACATGTAATAAAAGGCTAAACATAATGGAAGCCTTATTAATAAAAGCAAAAAAAAAATAAAACACTCAGCAATATCAACTATGAGCATGCACACAATATGTTGA